TTTACATCCTCTGTTGAAGTTCAAAAAATAACTTTGAGATTACCTGAAGGACTATCTTTAGTTCCAGATAACTTCAGACTCATATTTTATAGATATGAGAGCTTTTAGAGTTGCCTGTCTGTTTGATAGTACATAAATCTTTAAGTCTAAACAATTATCTGCTGATTAAAACGAGTATAAACTTTAATTTACAACTAAAATAGATCAAAAATAGCAATTTTCTCGGAACCTGACGTACTAATCGGTCGAACGTATAAGAAAACAATAAATTATACCGCAACAAAGTTATATCGATCGATATGTCTCGACCAATTAAACTTAAATATCAAGTTTTCTATCTATCGACAGCAGATAAAAATCATGATAAGCACTCAATCTCTATATGTCGCATATTATGACAACTTGATTGACGGTCATTTAAATTTAAAGAAAGGCGTATCCGCTTCTTGCATTTATGCATTTTAATCGAATAGGCTCGATTGATGTGTTTGTGTACAAATTGGTTTTACTGAAATGTTTATCGGAAATAAGAATATACGCTAAGAAACGCATTATAGATACATAATAAAATTATAAGGAAATATCAAAAGTATGTAGAAAGTCATAACTAAGTTACATAAGTTAGAATAGATAATATAGGAGACAAAGACATAGGTGAAAGTGAAGAGGAACACTTAGAAAGACATTTAGAAATCAGGAAAAACTGGAAGCAAGAAGTTATCGAAAAATGAAGGAAATAAAAACACCTTTTACAATAATATAAAGAAGATTAGATTTGGTTAGTAGTGTGAGGTTTTCAGATCAATTTTGTGGTTAGAGTATCTTGTTTAGTTTGATCTAGATAGAAGACAGTTCAAGTACTTCTGAAACATTAACGTTGCTTCCCTCAACAAATTATTAATAATAACAATAGGTGTACAAACTTTATATTCTAGGTTTACTTTTTATACCTTTTTGATGACCATTTATTAGAAATAACTGCAAAAAAATGTAATAAATTAAGTCCAGATTAGTAGTTAAGGTTGGTAGAGAATAGTTCGGAAAAGCAAAGTGCGTTTTAACTTATGTTTAAGTAGGATAACTTAAGTCTAAACCAGAGCTCATTGGTAAGAGTCTTCCAGGTTAAAAAACAGTAACCAATGAATATTATTTGTTTCCAAATCATAATAATGTTGGTAAATGCGCCTTATTTAGTTTCTGCATGTATGATTAAGATGATATTTTATTATTTTTACGTGTATTTTCTTTTTGAAATTGATTTAATCCCCCAGATTATCTTGGTATGATCAATTCGATTATTTTTAATGTTTAAATTAATATACGTCAACCGTATATAAAAACAACGCATTACCTAGTTGTCTAAGGTACGTATAACTCGTTTTTTTTTCTTCTTCTTTTTTCTCACTCTTAGAAAGGTCGTTTTGTGTGAAAATATGCGATTGAATAATTCATCAGATTTTAAAATTCTGCACTAGACTTGATACTTGACCACAAACTGGTATGTGCACACACAGTATACCAGCGGCGTACAAGATTATTCTATTTAGAAGGGGTTTCTTTTTTAATGTTTCGGAAGCCGACTATAAATATGGCTGACGATCAGAAGACAATAAATTGACAGATTTAAGTTATGTATCTTCTTAAGTAGGTATTAAATGTTTTTAGGAAGAATCTATAGGAGAATGAATGTAATGTAGCAAGAATGTAAAATTACAAAACAGAACTCAAAAAATACAATTCATACAGGGAAGGCTAAGAAAAACGATATGAGCAGACATTTAGTAAGGATGAACTCAGAAAGGATCTTAAAACAAGTTCAAGAGGTCAGGAGGAAAAATATAAAATAAAGAGTTAGGAAGAAAAGAAGTAAGAGACGAAGGGATAGGAAATGTTTACTGAAGCACAGGAAGAAAAGGAAGAAAAGGAAGAAAAGGAAGAAAAGGAAGAAAAGGAAGAAAAGGAAGAAAAGGAAGAAAAGGAAGAAAAGGAAGAAAAGGAAGAAAAGGAAGAAAAGGAAGAAAAGGAAGAAAAGGAAGAAAAGGAAGAAAAGGAAGAAAAGGAAGAAAAGGAAGAAAAGGAAGAAAAGGAAGAAAAGGAAGAAAAGGAAGAAAAGGAAGAAAAGGAAGAAAAGGAAGAAAAGGAAGAAAAGGAAGAAAAGGAAGAAAAGGAAGAAAAGGAAGAAAAGGAAGAAAAGGAAGAAAAGGAAGAAAAGGAAGAAAAGGAAGAAAAGGAAGAAAATGAAGAAAAGGAAGAAAAGGAAGAAAAGGAAGAAAAGGAAGAAAAGGAAGAAAAGGAAGAAAAGGAAGAAAAGGAAGAAAAGGAAGAAAAGGAAGAAAAGGAAGAAAATATCAAGAAAATAAGAAAATAAATAAAAAGTAGGAAGTTGGGAAGTGAAAGAAAGAAGAACGAGAAAGAAGAAAACTAGGAAGGAGAAGAATACGAAGACGGAAAATGAGAAAAAAGAGGAATAAAAATGGACAAAGGCAATTAAAATTAATATTTATTTATTTATAATAATATACCAATTATATTTAAGGGTCGATAAAAATACTTTTATATAAATTGTTTTCGTATTTTTTTGCGGTTCCTGCTGAAAATTCCCCGATGCACACTACGCCACTGGTCGATAAATGTTTTTACACAGAATCTTTTGCATTTTAGAATAATCGTTTAAGAAGATAAAAATTGTAACGCCTAAGAAAAAAACTGCTTCAATTTGCCAAGTACTAATCGTATATATAAAACAATACAAAGAAAGGAAAATTAAACAGGTCCGGATTTAAAAACAAATATACTTGTTAGGTTGCTTTATTTTGTCAACTATCAAACAATAATTTTAAATAAAAAGCCGAAGATATGTGAAATTGTTAGAAAAAGATGATACCAGAGTCTAAAATTTGTCAAAAAAAAAATATTATTTTAATTTTTGAATTTAAAGAATAGAACATTTTCTTTTTTCTTTTTGGAACATTATACTCTCTAAAAGGCTTAAATATGACGATTTAACCCAACTTATCCCAGTCCAAAAGTTGATAATTTCGGAAATACAGAGTGTTAAAAGTTTGGTTTTAGTTTTATTTTCTCAATATTTGATAGGGTAAAAAATAAAAATAAATAATTTAGTCCTGGCCATACACGATGTGAATTTTTTAAATCCAGATATCTCAAAAATGGCTGCTCACATCAACTCTTATCACGTATACCTTTTTTAGGTAAAAGACTTTGGAGAACAAGAATTTTTATTTAAAAGTTAAATACAGAGCGACTCAAAAAAAGTTATTTCGTTTTAAATATGTACAAGGTACCGCAGGTGGCGCACTTTAAAGTTTACAATAAAAATGAGAGCAGCTTTTAATTTTTCACTCCACAAAACTATCTCTAGACAAATATTGTCAAAATACATGAATTATTGAACTTTTAACACTTTGTATTTCCGAAATCATCGACTTTTGGACTGAGGTAAGTTGGGTAAGATCGTTATATTTGTCTTAGGAATAAGTGGTAGTATTTTTCCGCACCTTCTAGAGACATTCTGTATAGTATTCTTAAAAACGATCTATACTCTCGTTGGTCACCTTGTATAGTCTGTACTTGGTCGATCCTCCATATTCCAGCGACACGATTGGCTGAAAAAAACGTTCTAATTGTGGCAATTTTTAGCGATGACTAATGGGTAATTATATACTGTGTATTATTTCTATATGTCAACAGTAACTGTTTCTTAATTACTAAAGAGACCTTGAGTGTGCCTTGCAAGTATCAAAACAAATGCATAATATTTATTGACATTAAGTTTATTGATATAAAAGCACACAAAATGTTAAAAAATGTATGGTATGCTATACATTTTTTTGTCTAATTATTGAAATAGGAAATACAAGAGTAATTAGGTAATAAATCAATTAACAAAAAACAATTACAGAAGTTTGTAGAATCTTTCAAGACAGTTGACAAAGTTGATAATAACTTACTCTTGTTTAAGCTAAACAATTTTGGGTTAAATCACAAAATATTTAAAATTTATTTACCAAATAGAAAATTATTTATTATGGTTTAGAATTCCAATTTATGCAATGTGAACTCAGAAGTCTCAGGGCTCATATCTTGGTCCTTTTCTCTTTGTACTTTTTATCAATGATTTACCAAAATGTTCCAGAAGAGTCGGCGAATGATCCTAAAGAAGTTGTAACAGATAGAGAATGTGTTGGATTGCAAAAAGACATACAAATATTACAATGGAATTTAGAGAATAAATTGCCCTTGTGACATAGTTGATGGCAATGAGTTTAAAAAATAATAATGTGTTGCTATATAAAATTATTCAGTCCGTCTCTGTTCAACTTTTTTAGTGGTACATTTTTAACAACACGTCTCCCAATATATTACGAAACGTCAACACAACCATCATCCCAAAATTTATTCAAAATTTCACACCCAAAATGATTTATCGTCGACCAGACGAAGTTTTTATTAAACAATGTTCGTACGATAATATTTACAAATATAACGTTTGTATATATATATTAATTTCAATGTTCACATTTGACGCAACAAACTAAACATTTATTACTAATATTTATTTGTTTATTTTCTAAATGAACATACGAGATACGTTTAAATGCAATTTTATTAATTATTTCGATGCAGATAAAACTTCGTTTTAATTGAGCTAGTATTACATTAAAATTAATAAGCTGGATAACGATTTTTTGATATTTTGAAGTTACATTACGGCTTTAAAACGCCATAATTAATATTTAATGTGGTTATTTGACATAATTATAGCTTTAAATTGGCTAACTAGATGTTTATTTACGCGGTATTCATGTTAGGAGTGGGATTTTTATTTATTTTGCACTGTAAAAGTAAGAAATTGGTATATACCTAATTAATAATAAAATATACGAGGAACATACATCTAGTTTCACTCGCGAATAATATTTATTCTGGTTAATAGACGAGGCGGTGGACGTGTTAAAGTAATTGAAAAAGATACTCACCGGTATACATTCGCATTTCATGCAGTATAATACTCCGATTGGCACTCCTAAATCTGGTATCCAATGTGAACCAAGTTCGCGAATTTGTTTACCAAAAATACACTCTGAAACAAAAAAAAAAACAATATTAATTTTTTTTGTGTAAACAAATTTTACATAAATTAATCCGTTTTGGGTTCTATATGGCTACATTAAACATTAAACTGCCAGAAAAGTTGTAACATACTATGGAAAAATATTCCTAATAATCCCGAAATAAAATTTTCAAAATGAATCCCTTACAATAGTTATTTGTGTACCAAGGCCGTAAAGTTGATCTTTTTTAGCCTAACCAGAAGTTGCTTGGCCTCGGGTACGCCTCGGCCTCAAATCACAATGCCGAGGAGCACACAACATTTTTTAGGCGATTGTTTTTCAAAAGAGGCTTAAATGTAAGAATTGTTTCAAATTTTTATTGATCGAATAAAAATCCATTGTTAAATAATAAAATTTACGTAAGTACGAAAAACCTGTGTTTATAAAAAACGCCTATAAAGTAAATGCAGCTAAAAAAGTGATACTTTTTTCATTAAGAGGACAATTATCGATGTTGCCAGTAAAGTCACGGGTCACTTGTCTACTACGTTGAATGAGTACCTACGTATTTATTTCTAAAAATATGTATGATGTTCGTAATCACTTTGAAGATGTGATAAAAAACAATAAAAAAATAGTAGAAATTAAAAATGTCTTATTCGAGGAACTTAAAATACCGGAAAATTATACTCATAAACAATGATTTTGTGATAAATATCTATTTAAGGTCGTATTACATTTTTTTTATTACAGTATTATACTTAAAAATTATAATCGTTTTTTGTAAATTCGATTAATCTAGATAATATTTATATATTACATTACGAGTGTGGAAGTATTGTCGTACGAGGCATAATCCGAGTGCGATAATTACACGAGTGTAAAAAATACAAGTAGTGATGTAAAATATTTTTTCTACGACCACAAAATATAAAAAAAAATGTAAAACCAGAAAATCTGGCTATAAAGGTGTTCTATCAAGATGTGGCTGGTGTTAGACTTGTTTTTCTTTATTTATTGAATAATTTTTAGTGTTTTACATATGGTGTTTTGTCAAAATAAGAAACAATTTCATAGGATTATAAAGATAAAATAACATTAGGTACAAAAAAATATTATTGGTTTATTTTTTTTTTAACAAATAATATGAACAACCGTGGTCAACTTTTTTTTATTATTAATGATTACGCACTTATTTAATCACAATTATTTTTTAATTTTGATGAATTTTGATAAATTTTTAATGCTTTTCGATGACTTTATGATTTTTGATGATTTTCTGATGATTTTTAATGATTTTTGATGATTTTTGATGATTTTTGATGATTTTTGATGATTTTTGATGATTTTTGATGATTTTTGATGATTTTTGATGATTTTTGATGATGTTTGATGATTTTTGATGATTTTTGATAATTTTTGATGATTCTTGATGATTTTTAATGATTTTTAATGATTTTTAATGATTTTTAATGATTTTTAATGATTTTTAATGATTTTTAATGATTTTTAATGATTTTTAATGATTTTTAATGATTTTTGATGATTTTTGATGATTTTTGATGATTTTTGATGGTTTTTGATGATTTTCTTATGATTTTTTATGTTTTTTTATGATTTTTTTTTTATTTTTTTGATTTTTTTATGATTTTTTATGATTTTTTTATGATTTTTTATGATTTTTTATGATTTTCTTACGATTTTTTATGATTTTTTTGATTTTTTATGATTTTTGATGATTTTTAATGATTTTTGATGATTTTTGATGTTTTTGGATGATTTTTGATGATTTTTGATTTTTTTAGAAAAAGAATTGAAAAGAAAATTTGAATGAAAAAGTTGGATGAGAAGAAATTTGGAAAAAAAATTAGATGAAAAAAAAAGAATAGGATGAAAAAAATTGGATGGAGACAAAATTCTTTTCATCCAATTAAATTTTTTTCCAAAAAGTCGAAAATTATCAGAAATCAAAAAACATAAAAAATCAAAAAATCATAAAAAATCATAAAAAAAATCATAAGAATATCATAAAAAATAATAAACAATCATAAAAAAATCATAAAAAAAATCAAAAAAATCATAAAATACATAAAAAATCATAATAAAATCAGAGAAAATCATAAAAAAGTCATAAAATATAATAAAAATTCATAAAAAATTATAAAAAATCATAAAATACAATAAAAAATCAAAAAAAATTATAAAAATCATGACAAATCATACAAATCATCAAAAATCATCCAAATTTTTTCATCAAAATTTTATAAAATACAATAAAAAATCATAAAATATTATAAAGATCTTAAAAAATCATAAATAACCATAAAAAATTATAAAAAATCATGAAAAAAACCATACAAATCAAAAATCATTCAAAATTTTTCATCCAAATTTTATTATCTAATTAAATATGTCTACGAACCAGGAAAAAAACAAAAATAATCTAGCTATTTATGAAACCAGTTACAAGATACCTTATTTTGTGTTACAGTGAATATTTACGGGACGAGCAGAGCGAGGTCCCGCAACATGAATGTGTTATTATACAATATTTTTTCTAATTTTGACTAGATTATTTATAAAATTGTGTTTTGATAAGAAATTACTGACATCTAGGCAACCAATATTACAACTTTATTGTATTGTTAGTTGCACATGCATCATTTTATTGACAAATGGAACAATATTAATTATTTATCACAAAGATTTGTTGTGGCTTATTAAAGTTATTTAGTTTTCAAAAAAGTGCGTTATTTTGTCGTGTATTGTGTTTCAAATATTCATTTATAATGGAAAACAAGGACCAAAACAATATTATTACTAGGTTGTAAGTTTATCTAAATTCTATTTTTATAAGTCAAGCTGCTTTTAATAATAATGTATATTATTTATTTTAAAACCAAAAATGTTAATTTTTATTTGCTTTCTTTTCTCAATTGGTCACATAATGAATTTTTTGAAACCAGTTTCATAATGTTCAACATTATGCAACTAGTTGCATAAAGTAGATCATATTTTGACACTTGCTGCGATTACAAAATATGCCACTTTATATGTAAAAATTAAAAAAAAATTATTTTAATAAATTGTTAAAAAGAAATATCTAAGATCTATATTTAAAAATTAATGTTAACAATTTAATCACCATACTGATTTTACTAGTAACATGGAATGAATCAAAATAGAAATTATGACATATTTGACAGCTTATGTAGATTCATATTTACACATGGGTGGACAGTAGATTCTTATCCACACGAGTGTGATATAGAGCACTTACCATAGGACTAAATAGTGCGATAGGGGTCACTTTTCTAAACGGTCGTAGGGAAAATATTTTACATGTTCTAGGAAGGAAGTTCTTAAAAAAATCTGTTTTTGGATATTTTATTTGTTTTTTCATCTTTTTAGATAACTTCATATACTACCCCAATAAAGCTTCTTAAATTTAATCTGGAAATAAATAAGATATTTTCCAGCTTTGTACGTTTTAAAATACGCTTTTCATTTCTCTATATTTCTTATAAATTCTTTTCCATTTCATATTTTCGTCATCATTACTTTTCCTTGCAATTAAAATGCTTTAAAATTATGATTACATTAGACAGAACTAAAAGCAAAGTCGTTGAGGAACATAACAACGGAAAATAACTTAAAATGCGCGATGGTTTTAAAAAAGAATGACGTAAGAAAGGTAAAAATGGAAGAAGAAAAACAGAAAATAAGATATAATGAAGGAATTGAAATAAACATTATGGTGTTACAATAAAATTAGTAAATAACATGTATGTAGATCGATTCCAGAGTTACATCAATAAAATGGACAGTATTTGACTGCTTTTGAAGGATTTTTTTGTTCAAAATTATCATTTTTGTTGTAATAATTTATTTAGTATCAATTTCATGGATAAACTTTCAGTGAATCCCTCGTAAAACTTGTCGTTTTGTAACTGGGCAATCGACCAGAAGGCCTTAAATCGGCTTATATAGTCATCTCATTGTGTGTAGTTTATTGTTTAACTTAACCAAATACAGAAGTAGTTTGCCTAGTATAAAAAGATCGAGGCATTTCAACAATTCTGCGCGACTCCGATATTTCTTCTCAAAATCAAAGCTGTTGGCTACATTTTTCAAACGTTGGAGACGACCTTGCTTCACTTAGGGAAAAAATGGCCGTCAGCTAAAGACACAGAATCGGTTGATGTACATGTTTTGAATAATCAATTAGCTTTGAAAAGATAAAAAATGCTTAGAAAAGTTTGCCTCTTCTTTAGCTTTTTTAATATTATTGAAGTGTTGATGAACACACTTGTTTTTAGATAAAACATTCAATAAGAGGATTATTTACTAATATTATAATCCTATCAAGGAGTATTTTTGTTATAAGGTTACAATCTTGACAAAAAAAAACGTTCTAAATAAGCCTGATAACTTAATTAAACTAGCTGAAGTGTAATATTATAGCATAATAGTCGGCTATGTACTAGCACAATCACTTGGCTAGCTTAAAAGGTTTCACTCTCTTGAGTTTTCTTAGGTTGGTGTTGTCACCCATAAAGTTACTTATTGGTGATAGAGTTAGAATGCAGATCAGGAAAAGTAACAACGAGACTATCATCAGGAAAGAAGAGGTGAAAACAACCAAAAACATCTGGCAGAATAAATAGTACGAAAATACTACTGCTGGGTAGTGGACTAAAATTCTAATTTCTAACACCGCATGATTAACTACTAACTGACCCAGTTTCTAAATGGACATAAATCGTGCAGAAAGTACACAAACACAATGGGAAGAGCAGATGACGATGAATGCATCTAGTTCAGGGCAAAAAACACCTCAGAACACGCCATTTTGTAGTGCTTCCGATGGAATACTGCTAGAAACGAGACATGGGAATAGGAAGCAATATTAACGCCCCACAATACCATAAACCAAATGGCTGAAGGTCAGAGTAAATGGAACAGTATTTCTGACTATATCAGCAAGGTGATTAAAAAAAAAGAAGAGGAGGAAAAGGTCTGTCAGCAA